GAGTCAAAAGTCGAAGCACACGGCAGAAATTCGTCCAGGCGGAAGGCTGCGGTTTCTGTTTTACGGTTTAGGGTTTAGGGTGTAGGAAACCCTGACCCTAAACCCTAAACCCTAAAAAGTCTATGTAATTATTGAATTTATGTGTTTTTTCAGGGGTTTAGGGTTTTAGGGGTTCAGGGGTTCAGGGTTTAGGGGTTTAGGGGTTTAGGGTTCAGGGGTTTAGGGTTTAGTGGTTTAGGGGTTTAGGGGTTTAGGGCTTTAGGGTTTAGGGGTTCAGGGGTTCCGGGGTGTAGGGCTTTAGGGTTTAGGGGTTTAGGAGTTTACGGTTCAGGGGTTTAGGGGTTTAGGGGTTTAGGGTTCAGGGGTTTAGGGTTTAGGGCTTTAGGGGTTAAGGGGTTTAGGGGTGAGGATTTTTTTTGAATGAATTCCTGGGAACGTCACCAGCAAGGGCTGACAGTTGAAGGTCTTTCATGTTTTACTGTGGCATCAGAAACAATGCTCATGCCTTGAAAACTAATCTTCCGCAGGGAAAACGCGGCATTTTTATGACCTCTTTCAATGACTGCCCAGTACTTGGAGGTTCATGGGTAGTTATAGGTGGGGTTATAAGTCCCCTAACATGGGTTATAAGTATATTTACCCTACTTATAACCCCACTTATAACTACCCATGAACCTCCAAGTAATCTCACAGACCTTTTGCTTCATTCAACCTGCGCCCCACCCAGCCAAACAGAAGAAATGGGTACCAAAAGCCCCGACGGGGGTTTAGGGGTTTAGAGGTTTAGGGGTTTAGGGGTTTAGGGGGGTTTAGGGTTTAGGGGTTTAGGGGTTTAGGGGTTTAGGGGTTTGGGGTGTGTCTGGTCTGTGAATGCCTTTGGCAAACAAGCGGAACCGAGACCCAGCTCCAATCGGGTAACACGGGCGAAGAGGGGGCCTTCATAATTGGAAGAAGGCTTTGGGGGAAGCTCTAGCATAACTGTGCCGAGACTTCAGTGGGACATCACCTCTGCTTGGAGATTCATTGGGTAGTTATAAGTGGGGTTATAAGTAGGGTAACTATACGTATAACCCATACTAGGGGACTTATAACCCCACTTATAACTACCTCTAAACCCTAAACCCTATAGAAACCCCCTTAAAGGAACCCTTAAAGGAACCCCATAGCCCCGCTTCTAACTACCCATGAACCTTCAAGTAGATGGCTTCCACGTTGGAGTCGAGCTCCCACAATATATGAAGAAGCCTAGACTTCTGTGTGGGTGATGGATACGTCTGAACAACCCTAAACCCTAAACCCTAAACCCCCAAACCCTAAACCCTAAACCCTAAACCCTAAACCCTATACCATATACCCTAAACCC